ATGTAGTCTGTACTATGACAAGGGATGAAACCTATCATGGGGTTTGTATGGGATTAAATTAAAAAGATAAGAGAAGCTACTGAGACTGCAAAATTCATGGAAAGATCTGGCTGATGCTTGATGAGTGGTCCCTCGCTATATCGTGGTTCACCATTTGCAGTCTCGCTGTTTCGCATATTTTTTTTTTGTGTGTGTGCGCAATTTTGCATGCTTTTTTAAAATATCAGTCAATCTCGTGCCGTGTCTCCTGACAGTACAGAATGCGTTAGGCTTGTCAAATCTTCAATCGCTGTCAGTGTGACTCTGAAGTGCTGTACTGTATGTTTGTAAGTTTTCTCCCCAACAAACACAACAATGTCCACGATACGTCGTCACCTGCAGGTGCCTTTTGCCTTTCAAACTGATCCAATCACCTGAAATTTCTTGTTAATTCTACGAGATTCGCAGTCAACATCAGACATTTTGACATAGGTTAGAATTCCTTAACAGACAGCTCCCTGGTTGGACGCCTGGCCAGTTGGTCCCTTGCAGCATTGCCTTTATTGCAACTGTTAAATGAAGTAAAATGTCCCCAAACTATATTTTTTGCCATTATTTCTGTCCTTCAGTATACTTCAGCCCTCACCTATGATGCAGTCCATGTGATGACTGAGGCATTCCGATTCCTGCACAAGCAAAGAATAGATATAAGTCGTCGTGGCAACAGTGGGGACTGTCTAGCTAATCCAGCAGTGCCCTGGGCGCAGGGGGTGGAAATTGAGCGTGCCCTCAAACAGGTAAAAAGGATTTGAATGTCTTTAGTTTGAATGCACAAAGAAGAAATCATAAAAGCTAGGTGTAAGAGTTTAGATCAGAGATTTTGTTGAAAAATCTTGCTGTCTTTTATTTGGTTACTTGTCAAAAGCTATTAAAATTTAATGTTTGAAAATATAATTGAAAATATAATCATTCGAAAATTGTTCTAGCAACACAATCAGTCATTTGTTTGAGTGGAAGTAGTGTGTGGTGAAGGTACCAGTGGAGATGACCAAAAGTAGGGTTGCCCTTTGTTAACTTATCCTACTATAGCCATCAAGTCTGGGTGTGCATGAGATCCAGAAAGTGCCTAAGGGAAAATGTGATGTTCTATGACTGGTTAGTAA